CCGCCAACACCGACACCATCTCTAACTCCTAATTCATCGATGATTTTAACGATTCAAATAATGCTTGACAAGGAATATAAAAATCCTCGCTATATTGTGGCAAAATATGACACTAATTCATTTGCGGACATGAGAGAATGGTGTAATTAAGAAAGCGGTTGAATAGACCCAAGGCCAGGATTTTTGTGTTCTTGGTTTGGAGTCTCCCTGGGAAGTTTTGATAAGTATTGTGGGTTTTACGCGATCTTTTCAATTATTATAGTAATAGAGTGAATTTGTATTTATTTTAAGGGACAAATACAATGAAAATTTACCGAATAACTGGCAAGAATTGGTGGAGAACTGTCCGCGAATATTAAAAGACAGAGTAGTCAATGGACTCCTAGTTCTTTTGCCTAATAATAAGGTTAGTACATATTCATTTTGTTTCAAGCCCATACAGATATTGTAAATGTAGTTGTTCATATATAGAAGTAAAGCAATATAATTACATTATTATTTAAAGCTATGGTATAACATTTAGGAGCCGACGACGCCGTTGTATGATACTATAGTTCCCGACGAGACCATCGACAGCGACTTGCCGCCTCTGCAGTTCCCGGAGCAGGACTTCTGGAATGTTTTCATCACAGTTGCCAACTCCACGCTCGAAGTTTGGCTTCGAATTATTGGACCCGAGTACAGTGTATGTAATAACTTTCTCCATACAATAGTTTAGTGCAGCGAATTGAAATTATAATTTAATTTTGTCCTTTCAGAATATGCTAGACGCTTTGCTTGCAGATATGGGAAAATACTACAAACATCACGGAACATCCGTTGATAAATCGATGATAATAAAGAATGCCTGGTAAGTTTTTGAAAGTGATTAAAAACATTTTGTGGTATACTTTATAATAATTTTAGTATAAATTTATTTGTTTACAAATTTCTCGGTACATTATTAAATGGGTGTACAATGTGTGTGTATATCTGCAGGTACGCCGTGAACCTCGAGGACGGCGGCTGGCAGCGCGCCAAGGTGCTGGAGATAGAGAACGATACCGCGACCGTCTTCCTGGGCGACCACGGAGACGACGACACTGTCAATATAAACGATATCAAGATACTCGAGCCGCAGTTCAGGAAACTGCCAGCGCAGGTCGCCCATACTATATTTCCCTTATAACACATTGATTAACTTCCTTTTTTATTCTAGTGGTTCTAATGTTTTGTTTAAATATTTTTATAGAACATATTGTAGCTCACTGTATGTGATGCAGGCGATCCTGTGCCGGCTGGAGGGTGCGGAGGAGCTGGCGGCGAGCGAGACGGGCGCGGCGCTGGTGGCGCGGCGGCTGCCCGGCGAGGTGCTGGTGGCGGCGCCCGGCCCGCGCGCCGACCCCACTGATCCCTCCGTCGCCGTCGTGCTGTACGACACCTCCACTCAGCGCGATCTCAACCTCAACAAGGAGATCGTGCACGACTTCTGTATCGCGGGCGCATTCACCGTCACCCAGGTTCCTCTTCGTTTAATATTTACATCAACATAACAATCTTAAGAGTAAAGTTAACTGTATTGCCCGCTGAGCATGTTGTTACACATATTAATTTAGTAATATGCATGTATTTGATGAACAGAAGTTAACCGAGATGGAGGTAGGGTGCGTGACGGACGAGGGCCGCGTGTGGGTGTCGCGCGCGGGCGGTGCGGCGCTGGTCCGCAACGCGCTCGCGCTGCTCACCAGCGGCCCCTACCGCCGGCCGCTGCCCGCCGCTCCACACGCACCGCCCCCACACCCCACGCTCTTCATCGTGCGCACGCTCGCCGGCGACTGGTCAGTGTACACGCGCACCCCCCATATTTCCCACACTCAACACTTTCACACTTGCTCATGATGCATTATGCCTCAGCTAGCGCCGGACTGCTGCTAGAAATTTTCATAACTTTTAAACGGTAAAAGCATCATGAACTTTGGCGTTGATATAATGCGACTAGTTATACTTGAGATGAGATATTGCTTGCGGGTCAGGGTGCGGTGCGTGATCATCAGCGAGCTAGACGGCGAGGGCACGGTGCGCACGCAGCTGGTGGACTCGGGGCTGGTGCTGCGCGCGCCGCTCTCCTCGCTCGTGCCGCTACACTCCTTCTCGGCCGCGCTCAACGCCTATCCATATCAGGTACATTATACCTTGCTCTTTGTTTTACTGGTCCTACCTTAAGGTAAATAGACTGGTGTGTGTACGGTGACGTGAATTTAGGATACCTGTACCATGATATGCGGAGTTGTAGGCTATCCAAGTGCGACTGGGGTCTGCGGAGCGCGTGGCGGCGAGCATGGCGACGCGGCTGCGCGAGCTGCTGGTGGGCGCGTCGGTGCTGTGCCGCGCCTCGCCCGCGCCGCACTCCCCGCACCCACACCCTTGTCCCGACGTCGAGCTGTACGTGCGCTCCGGGCCCAACCACCTGCTCGGCTCCGTTAACGACTCCATACTCATCGAGTACGAATATCTCAAGAAGTGAGTCGAATCACAAAAATTGATATTGCCACACGAACTTTTAAATTTTTAAGTAAAATAAAATGTGGTTTGATAATTATGTTGTAAAAATTGTTTCTTATATTAGTGCTAAAACGGAGGAAGAGGGGAAGGGTGCAACTGACCACGTGGAGGCACTTAACAAGAAGAAGGAGCGCATATTCCGTACGGCGTCGGGCGGCGCGCTAGGCAATGCGGCGGGCGGCGGGGGCGGTGCAGGGGGTGCGCCAGGCGGAGGACGCAACGTACTTCCACCGCCCGTGCTGCCCGCACCGGGCAAATGCTTCGACGTCTACATCGCCATGGCCGCTAACCCTTGGAACTTTATAGTAGGTTTTCAGATTATGAATCCACGCTTACCTCTGAAAACTTGATTTCTTTTATACATTACTTTCGAAATAATATAAATGTTAATGATCCTATGAATGAATGTTTCGCACTAAACCAGGTGCAGCCGAACACAAACCGGTACACTCTGCAAACGATGATGATGGAGTTGCAGCGCGAGTGCCCGAAGCTGTCGCCGGCCGAGGCGCCCACTAACCCCGCCAACGGCGAGCTGTTCACTGCTTACTACGATAAGGACTCATCATGGTACAGGTAAAACAGTTGTTTATCTTATTAATGCATATATATAGGTAAAATTAAATAACTCTTTTTCTTAATCATTAAATGCCACAATGATTTTCACATGTAAACTCGCGGATCCTAATAGGAGATGACTACTTGATATAAATATTTTGTTCGTTCACAGAGTTACAATAGCGGGTACGGTATCGTCAGATATGGTATCAATATACTTCTGTGACTTCGGCGATTTGGCGCTGTTTGCGATGAAGGACCTGCGGCCGGTGCCCGCCTCCGTGCCCCTCGCGCGCTCTTTGCCCCCACAGGCGATAAAGGGCAGATTGTTCGGTCAGTTGATGTACTATTTTGTAATATTCTATTAAAATGTTTTTTATGATAGTGAGAAAGAAACTAATAGGTAATTATCAACCAAAAGGGTTATGTCATACAAATGTGTTAATACAATTTTACTGTTTTTGACAGATGTATGCCCACTTTACCAAGACTGGACAGTAGAAGACTGCATTAGGTTTCAAGAATTGTGCGTAGAACAACAGTTTGTTGGCATATGCAAAGAAGTGGGCAAGGACCCGTTGAATCCAATTGAACCGCTCCTGATCCTCGACCTTATCGACACATCCACAGATGAAGACATATACCTAAACAAACAGTTAGTTGCTGAAGGCAGAGCCAGACTTGCATCTAATTCCTAATTGTTTTAACTTATTGAAATGTAAGGACTTTGTTATGTTTTATTATATTTGTTTTGCATTTTATTTTAGTGAAAGTGGTCATGTATTTATGTAGTTTGACGGCTCTCACTTAAAGTATTCTATGTTATAAAATATTGAAGCATCTAATATATACTCCTCGATAATATAGGATTGCTTTTTCATAGTATAGCCTGTTTACAATAGAAATTATAGTTATTCAATGTCGAATTAAGGGGGATTAGAAAGTTTATATTCAACATTCAGTAAACTGAGGCTGTTTATGTAATACTCAACACTAATTCCATATTTATTCTTTTAGTATGGTATTTTTAAGTGTATTTATAAGAAATAATCAGTGTTTCCTTACAGACAATTTATTATATCCTTGCAACAATTACTTGGACTTGTTTACCATCATCTATATAACTAGTAGTATTCTAGAAATACTTTGTGTATATAGAACAAAAAATTATATAAAACATATAGATACTGATTACCATACATAAATAATGGCACTACATGCTCATGTAAAATGTCTGAAAATGTGTTATACTTAATTGTCTTGATTAAACTTATAAGGACAAAAGTAAGAGTTAAGATTTTCAAAATCTAATACAGCAAATATTGAAAATAGACATATTCTAGCTTGAACATATTTCCCTTTGAGGAGAATGACGATATTTTAACAAGTTTTTGACATTTACTAAAGAGAATGCTTGTCACACAACCAACCCAGTTAAATAAAAAGTATATTATGTATGAGTCTCCAAAATTTTTTATTCCATTTAAAAGTTTCACCAGCCTGCTCATTTACTCAGTATTAAACATATGTTAGATATTTGATTATCAGTGTAAGGGTTTATTGCATTTTAAACAGAGATCCTCTCCACACCATGCACCTTGTAAAATGATTTGCTAGCAACTATATTCATATACGAAATAATCCACTTGTATTCACATGCCAATAAACATATAAATATGAATCTTAAATTTTGTGTTTTATTTAACTTTCCAACTATAGACCTTGTTTAGTTTTGATAAAATGTATCAAGTCAATATTAAGTGTATGTACAACTAGTTATATATATACAACTTTATTATTTATCTTGTGATCGATATAAAGTAAAATTGAGACAATCACTTTAATTACAGCAGGGTACAGGAACATTACAATAAATCAAATAAATGGAAATAAAACAAAAATTATCAAATTACAAATTATTTATTAGCTTAAGAAATATTTTACAAAATTTAAAATATTTGGATTAATTTTACAATACCAGAAGACATTTCCTGCAATAATGATGCAATCAATTAAATGCTAATTCAGAAAACACATGGCAAAAGCAAATACAAAACATACAACACCGTTGTAGCAAATTGAACATGGTATAATTTTATTTAGGTTTTTAGTATGCAGTGCCTTCTATACAATATCATTTGAGAAACTGCTAATACATAATAAGAAACAAACATCACCAGTGTGAGAAAGTAGAACACTTGTATGTATGACATGAGGATCACAACAAAGTATAGAGGGAATAAGAGTCCTGCAATGCCAAAGTTACATGGAGGTTTTTTATTGATTATCAATTGTCATTCCATTTGAATATTTTAATTTAACTTTCCTAAAATTACACATAGTCTTAAATTTGACATAGATGGGTATAGTTTCCATTTAATTTTAATTTCTTTTTATAATAAATTACTATAAGCTCTGGTTGAATGTTTAAATTAGTTTTATCGACTTGCCATCTGGCATGGTAAGACAAATAGGTCTGAACATAGAAGTGCTTACTGCTCCTACAGCAAAGTTTACTTCAATACTATTTGCATAAAATCCCTTTCTGTAGCCTAATTGGCCACCTCCAGAACTAATGAAAACAAGAAATATATATCTTAAATATATTATTTACGTAGATCTTCACTTGATATACCATATTTCTTTTTCAATGTGTCTATCTCTTCTTGCTTCTTCTCTATATCCATTCCCTTGAAGGCCTTGTTTGATCTGTAGTATAATACAACTAAATACCTGTTGCATACATTAAATCCAGACAAATGATCACAAGCATTTTTTGCATCAAATATATCCTCATACACAACAAACGCTGTTCCTCTTGTTTCTGGTGTGTTTCCACTGCAAGGAAATAAAACATTATCATACTGCACCAAACATTATTGCCTAAGAAGTTAAAAACCTTTAAACTTACACTCGAATTTGTCGAATTGCTCCATATTTTCCAAATATATCATACATTTCTTCAGCTGATATCTTGTATGGTAAATTTCGCACATAAAGTATCCTATTTACTTCAGGTGGCAATCGGACCTAAAATTAAGAAGAAAATCAACCAATTTATACAAAACAAGTATTTGGAAAATCAGAAGCCCAATCAAATTGCCATTGATTTATTTTGCTTGCTTGTGTCTTTAGCTTTTGCTCAATTCATAACCTTACAACTGAGTGATGGTTTCACTATTCATAACAGAACATATATTACATTAGGTAAAAGGTGATTAAAATAATTTAATAAAAGTGTGTAAAGTGCAATTCATACAAACTTTTCTAAAGAAGTGGAAACTTGTGTATGTACTTACATTAGCGCGTCTCTGTAAAGCTAAAGCCATGTTTACGTAAAACTGTTTACTATATTTAAGTTAAGGTTTTTATAATTTCTTTGTTTAATTGGAACTTTAAAACGGTAACAAATCAATCTTGTAAGACACGAGTGAATTTTTGATGCCCGCTTGCTTAGTTTATCAGTTATGAGTTTATGAAAACTGTCATTTGTCAATGTCATGAATGAAACTGTCAAGAGCACTAATCTCTAGACATGGACCGGCTATGGACTGTACTATTTTGTGCCCAATTGCTTTTCGCTATTTGGAGCTGTCTGTTGCCATCGCAACAGTCAGTTCATAAACTGAGATGAATCTCATCAGTGCTACGCTACCCGCATTACTGTAGCAAAAAATCTGTTAAATCAAAGAGTATAGTAAGCATACTACATAAATATGCTCTTCAGCAACTTCGCTAGGCGTATTTGAGTCGGAAAAAAAGCATTATAATCATAATAATAATATTTATTTATTCTCAATACAAGTTTCACAAACAAATACAAATATATAAGTATATTCAAACACAACTTTATTGTTACATATTCGTGATTTTTATGATCCTAAGTTATGTAAGTATTAAACAGAGCTATTATAAAATACAAAGCAATAATTTTCTATATGCTAATATTTATTTATAACTAGTCTGACATGCAAAATTATGCTTCTTTACATTATAAAGCTATAACATCTATATAGCAAAGGAAAAAAAATATATACCAAAATCATATACCAAGCAAAAACCTTTCCATCCGTAGATCAGTTGGCAAAAACATATACTTTACAGATTATAGTCAAACTAGGATACCAATGGCCTAATACTCGTGGTATTTGTGACAATCGCTTTTGCATCGTCAGTAATATCAAAATTAGATTTTTGGTGTACTTTAGGTACTAATTTTAATACTATTAAATTATTCAAACTTTCGTGAGACATTATACTAAACTGATATATAAACACGGCTAAACACTCACGTATATACGTCCGGTGGCGGCACCGACTAGTTGTTATTATACACTGTAAAATTTTTCACATGAGGAATACTTGGTTACAAACCCTAGACGTTATGTTATAAGAGGACTAGACCATAGGTGGACTATTTCCATATTATATGGGGTGTTCACATATAACTAGTACTGGCGGAAGGCCCGTTTAATAAGATACACTAGCGATGTCAACCGGTTTAACTTTAAATTGAACACGCCTGCATCCCTTAAGTTCACGTTACGTATGTGAATATGCAAGTAATGCAACACTCGTAAAAATAAAAAAATAAACTATTGTGAATTTTTTTTATTATTGCAGAAATCTTAATGTTTCATAGTATTTATAGCGAGTTGCCTAATGGTGATTCATAATGTCGTCATGAAGTGAAAATCTATGCGTTCGTCGCCAGTAAAGCAGGACCGCGGCCGCGCACAGCAACAACAGCAACACCACCGACACCGCGCTCATAGCGACCATACCACCGCGTAGACGACTTTCATCTGAATCAAAATTATAACATCCAAGCATAATCATACAATGTCGTAAATTCAACGTGATATATCCTGACCTGAGGCTAAAGCAGAAGGCCTAACAGGAATATTCGTCAGATCGTTTTAGTAAAGTCAACCACAAAATCAAAATTTGTGCAGCACCCCTACCGGGCGTATCGTACAATAACATCTCATCATGGGCGTCGCCAGGGGGACGGGGCAATGTGGGAAGCTGTCGAGAATTGAATAAATATAAATTAGATATATAAACTATTTTTCGCCCGACACACAAACCACGTTGTATGCAACGATGATACGAAATTCAGCAAAATTCCCGTCAAAATGTTTTCTTCTTGAGCCTCTGTTATGTCATTTACAGCCAGATATTAAAATAACTAAGTTTTACCTTTTTCGGTAGTGAATTGTTCCGAATGCTCTCTGCTATTCAGTAAGTTTGAAAGGTTCGGCAAATACTTAAGCCAAAACGCTACATCTCTAGATGCAGAAAGAGAGTTATGGTCGTTACTCAATCCTTCGCGAATTTCTTGAACGTACGCATTTCCCACTTTATATCTTTCCCATCCATCGTTTGCATCCGGATATCTACAAGATAATATTTTAAACAATCAAGTGAAAAAAAAAAACAATTTAAATCGTCAATTGTTAGTTATAAAGAATTTGTACCCAAATCTAACGAAGTTCGCAATGTATTTTCGAAAAATAGATGATATACGTTTTTCGCTATCAGTAGCAGGTCTTCGAGCTATTTGAAGCATTAATGCATCTCCCAGAAGTGCAATTAAATCGGCTCCATGTACGGCTCCTATAAATTCAAAAGATAAGGTAATGAAATATAATTTCAATCAGAAATTTTTCATTTAAATACTTATTTCTTAAGTAATGACTATTGAATATCGGTACTCAGTATTCACTTGATTATAAGAATCTTCACAATGTTTTAGAAGAAGCTCGTAGTAAGTATACCTGTGAAATTGAAGTGTCGCCCTTGTATGTCAACTTGAGAGGATTGAGTGAAGCGGTACACATAGATGCGCATAGCTCGTCGCGCCAGCCGCGCCGCCAGCAGCGCACCGCCCGCGCCCCACCTCGCGGAAGTTTCCATCCGCGCAAGACCCTCAACTGCAGCAATCGTCTCTTTTTCCACCTCGTTTCTTGTTTGCGCTCCCCAAAACTCCCATCTTATTGCTTGTATTAGCTTGAAAAAAGTCTTTCTTAATAATTCTATAAGCATTTGATATACAAAAATGTTTTATATAAAAAAAAATGAATTTAATCTATTTTGTTATTTATAATACCATCGACAACGCTTCTTCTTGCAATGAAAGCAGGCGCAATGTTTCCGGTATAGCCTTTGTAGTTGCGTATTCAAAAATACGCTGCGGTCCCTCTTTCATTAGATCTTCATAGTAGTGATCTGTGGGCATTAGATTATTAATAGACTTGACCTTTGATTGTTGTTTTTCTGCTATAAAATATTCCAAAACAAACCATGAGAGTTGATTGCTTCAAGGTTGGTAGTACCCATGAGTATATCAAGTTGAATGTTTGACATTTTTGATGACGTTAGAGCTTCCGCCACTGAGACCGGTAAATATTGTTCCGCATCCGGTAAGAAATTATCGGATATAGGCTGCAAATTATTGAGCCAAGTACTATTCTAAAATAAATTAAGTATATTATTAACAGCATAAAATTGAAGTTAATAACAAAAGTTAATGTATTTTAAGAAAAGTCTATATTTCGTACCAGCGTTGCTGAGACGATATCAGTGACGGAACGGGATCGCATGCAGTATAAAATGTCTCTGTCAGTTTTACCCGAGCAATCCAGAGCCTTAGCGATTGCCCGAGATATTCGTTCAACTTCTGAAGCATTTATATTCAATTCTTTGTCAACCGCACGCCAAACGTTTCTTGGAGACATAATTATTGCTCTGTGGAATAAACCTGTCCATGGATTTATTATTAGTTTTCCAAAAATAATTAAACTCAGTTATTTCAAAACATTTGCATATACCTGCGGATCGCGGCGATACGATATGGTGTAAAACACAATCAGCGCCTGCGGAATGACCGACGAGCGTGATTGCGTTCGGGTCACCTCCGAAGGCGGCGATGTTCTCTCGCGTCCATAACAACGCTAGGTACTGGTCGAGAAGGGCTAGGTTACCCCTCGCCGCTACCGAGTTCAGCGTGAATAGGGACAATAAATGTAGGCGGTAATTGACAGTGATCACAACTACACCCTCGGACGCCAACTCTTGGCACGGTAATGTGGCACCGCCTCGTAACCATGTTTCGCTATACAGCAGTACCATTACTGGAAGTAATTTCCCATCTACTCGCTACCTGAAAATATTATTGGTGCTAAATGTGGTACATATTATTAATTATAATTTGTTCTAAACAGGTCAATGTTATAAGCCGCCCATTAGCCTATGCGAATAAGCGCAAATAGAAACTGTTACGTAGGCGATATCATAACAAAAACTCTCAAAACCTCACCTTTGGTGCAAAAATATTGAGGAACAAACAATCTTCGCTGTAGTTTTCGGCGTCCAAATTTTGTTGGGGGCATCTGGGCGGCATACGATGAGCAAAGAATGTGCGTCTCCAGCCCGGGTGGCGTTCAGGCGCCTAAAAGTGTCATACTTATTTCTACAAAATCAAAAACAACTGGACTTTCTCCTCCAATGAAATCACAATAGTTTATAACTTGAAATGTAAAAAAATTGTGTTAAAATAAACTTACTGAAAATCTGAATCGACCAATAGGCGCATTCGCATAAGGGATGCCGTAAAAAATTTCCACAGGCGTAAGAGAAGATTCAGTATACACCTTAATCTGTAATAACTATAGATGTAGCACAATTTTTTTTAATTGAAACAATTAAAACAAAATCATACTGATAATCTCACCCCCACAATACGCCCTTGTGGTATATTTGCTGTTGGATCCTGAGCACAGACACGATAAATTTGTAATAAAATGGAACAAATAATATAAAAATACATGTTTTAATAAATTGCAATGATTCCCGCGGAGAGGAAATGTTGTATAGTACATTACGCGGCCAAACTAAATGGCACAGTCCATCGCTATTCGGAATAGTTCCGTAGAGTACATGAATTTGACAATGCGATGCTCCAGTCCATGACGAGAGCAGTATAATAGGGCGACAGTATAATGCCTGTGGTGATTGTTCTAAATTCATTGGCAGTCTTTTGTACACAGGTGAAAATATATTCATAACGTCATTGGGACATTAAGCTACGTCAAGCATAACCGCCATATCCTGTAATTTATAAAAGTATAATTCGCCGGGTGACGAAATATTGTTGGCAAAAATAGCTGAAATGTTCGTACATTACAATTGTTTTACTCAAACTGTTATAACTGTGTCTTACCTCATCACCTGAATAGAATAAAAATAAAATAAAATATTGTAGACAGGCATTGTTAACCCTTTGAGATAATTTATTCGAACCTCGATGTGTTCAAAACTCTGCTGTGTTACTCTGTTATTTTCTCAAATAATTATTTACCCAAAATTTCCACAGCTAAGCCATTCACTATTTGTTCGATTCAATATAACAAAATTTTACAAAAGACACAAATAATTGCGTAATAAGTACATTTTATACAAATGTAATAAAGGATAAAAA